GGCGGTTTGTTGAGAAGAAAACTAGGGCACATTTTTAATACCAGTCCTCAACTGAAGTGCCTTTCCATTCCACAACGGGGTGTCTTCCGGTTGCCGCTCTGGCGGCACAGGACGGGGTTCCCTGGTCGATCCGGAGGCTCTTAGAAAGATATATCATATCACATTGATCACTTCCTAACGCAAAAGACCTTCAGACCTGCACAATCGGCCCCGGATTGATGCAGGAGCCCTCGTTGACACATCAGCATTCCTGATCCCCGAAATTGGTCAAATATTTGGCACATAGACTCCAGTTTGGCTCAACGGGCACGTGCTGGAATTGGGTTAGGGTGACTACCGTTCGGTATTGGGGCCCTGACTGGCACAGAACCCTTCCATTGTCTCATTGTGAACACTCATCAAAAGTCATAATGTTTCTTTTTATTGTTCGAGGGCCCCGACCAACGCAAGGGTTCAGAGGGCCCACCCCGACCAGCACAACTCTGTCATTCTTGGTGCCGTCCCCCCCCCCCCCCCCCTGTTAAGCAGATGTTCCACTCACCGAATCGAGACCCGCTGTTGATACAGAATACCCTGTCAGGTACTGGCCCCTAACAGACAGACGAGTCCTGCATTGTTGCAGGGTCCCTGACCAATGTCAATTGCGGGCCCAGCCCTGTCTCTGCTCAGCCTTAATCCTGCTTGGGAAATGGGTCCCAGGGGTTAAGACCGCCAGGAAGCCAGCTGTTCGGTGCCCATGGTCTCTAGCCGACCGAGACATCCGCATTGTTTCAGGGGGCCTCGAACGCAATTCTTTGTGTGACCGACAGTCAGCCCTTCGGGACCTTATGCCCCCCCAATCGAGCCCTTAATCGTCGGTTCCGCTGGGACGCCCGGGCCCCTCTTCGGGCCCCATCGAACAGTGCCCTTGGTCGGCTCGGGACTCCTTGCGAACACAAAACCCTCTGTTAGGCACTGCGAACCCCTGACATATGCAGGGGCTTCAACTAGTGTAAATCACTAGCCCCAGCTTTGCAGCTGATTGGGAAGTGGTCCCCTAGGCCCATATCGACACGGAACTGACTGTGCGGTACTGGTGGTGCCTGATCGACTTCAAGGCTCATACCGACTCAGGGGTTTCGCGATCGACGCAGAGAGCCCTCCGGCTGTCATCTGAGGGCCCGTCTGTGCAGGCTGGGGCCCTGAATAAGACCCACATGTAAACCACTGGATCCTGCTGTGTTCCTGCTTGGGGAATGGGCCCTCGGGCCCATGCCGACACGGAGCCGACTGTGTGTGACTGGTGGAGTCTGACCAACATATAGACCCTTATCGACTCCGGGAGCGCCTGACCGGCGCTCAGAGCCCTCTGGATGGCAATGAAGTGCTCGGGTCTGGAGAGCAGGCTCCTGAATGCGACCTCCAGTTGGCGTTTCGGGTATTCAAATCGGGTCATTAATCATGGGTCCTGAGTGGCTCGAAGGGCCCCTCGGGACCTAAGGGGGCACGTGTCCACTGTGCCCCCCCCCCCCTGCCTGCGCTACTGACCACCTTTGTTAGTGTATAGAGAGCCAATGCACTAACACATCAAAATATTTCGGGAGGAATTCAAGATATGGATGCCTCACAACATTCTTGAAGCGAATGTTTTCTAGCACATTTGGTGCAATTTTGCCTGGCCTGAGTTTGAAACATGCTTACCCAGGTTTAGGTTCAGCACCAATTTTGGGGAGGCAAGGTTTCGCAATGGAATAAAAGAGCTCCCTCCCCGCCCGCAACTTGCACACTGGGGAATGCAGTCGTGTTTAGTATTGTTTTCATCAAAGAGCCCCGCTGCATCATTTCTTTTGGTTTCCAAAACTGCCCCTGCGCGATATTTGTGCTTTCTCAGAGGCTTTAAAAACGTCATGCCGCATGCCACCGCGTTAGGTGGCATCAGGGGTCAAGCTACTTCTCTCCCCAGCAAGTCGCTTCCGGTAGAATTTATCATTCCGAGTTGGCAGCATTGCTGGTATATCCATTCACCTAGACTTCTCCGGCCTTCCTAGAGATATTTCTTCAGAAAAGTCTCCAGCGACTTGGAAACAAAAATATGTGTGCGGGCAACCTAATATTCTGGTAGATAATAAAACGCCACTGCTGATTAAGTCCGCCTACAAATATATCAAATGAGATAGGTTTTTCCGTTGGGCTGTTGGGTCCGATAGATACTACGTGCAAACATCGTACGTCGGAACGGGAGCGCGATGAGGTGGCAACCAAGGCCTATAATAGCAGCGGAATAGCGCGGTGGCAGCGTAATCGTAAGTGTCCGTGAGGTCCCTTGAAGATCAAAGGCAACGATGCTGAAGGAAGCGAGCGAATTGCATGTGTTGAAACGTAAACAAGCACTTTTAAATGTGCGGCCTGGTTACACACATCGGATCTCCTCAAACTCCGTGCTTTAAGTTGGATTAGTTGGATTTAAGTTTCTCCGCGGATTAACTCGTTCGCTTCTCAAAATTCGAAAGGCGGGTGAACCTCATACGCGAAACATTTGCGTTTGTGTCTGAGTGTGTCTAGTGCACGCTTCAAGACAGCACAACATTCGTGATGCCACCCGGTGCAGATAACGTGGCAAGGACATGCTTTGCAACGTGAGTTGGTGGTGTGTGAGGCGAGGGGGGAGGAGTTTGGCAGCTAAAATGTACAAGACCCACCCCAAACGTACGTCACTGAACGGTTTTTCCGAGGATTTGGCGCGTTCTCAGCGCACATGAACATGGCCAGTGACTTGAAAGAGAGGGCTTAATAATCATCGCGCTGCTCTGCCGATTTTTGTAAAGCGCACTGAACGGAAGTGTTTGTGAAGATCAGGCCTCGCGATCAGGCGAGGATTATTTATCACTTGCGCTCTGTTTTTCAAGTCACGGACCATGTTTATTTTCGCTGAGTACGTAGCGGGCCGCTTGCTTGAAAGTGCTTTGTACTATGAAAGTTTGACTATGTACAATTTGCTCACCTCCTTCAGCATCGTTGCCTTCCGATCTTCGACTGACTTATGAACGTCTGAAAGCGGACGAGCCCCGTATCAGGTAGTGGTGTATATATATACTCATCTCATTACTCATCTCATTGTGGTTTCTCATTCTCATTGTGGTTTCTCATCTCATTGTGGTTTCCAAAAGAATCAATAAAACACCATGCAAGGGGCTCCGCAGGGCAGTCAGTACCAGGGAGTGCGCCAGACACCTGCACCCGCGCCCCGAGGTCGACTCCCCGGTGATGATGATGATTTGGGGTTTTAGGGCGCATCGACTGCTGAAGGCCATGCAGCGCCCATACCGACTCCCCGAGACTCCAGCTCACAGCACCTGGCGGCGACATCCGGCGCAGTGGACGCATGAACACCGGCAACGACGCGCATAATGGGAGTGCTCGCGCTGTTACGCCCATCCTCCCGGGTCATGGACGGCTGGCGCTCTGAGCGCGCCCTTTTGTCCCTTCCCTACCGGGCGAGCGCGGGCCACGGCTTTCAGCTCCCTCCCATGTTGTTGGGAAAAGGAGGAGTGTGTGTGTGTGTGTGTGTGTGTGTGTGTGTGTGTGTGTGTGTGTGTGTGTGTGTGTGTGTGTGTGTGTGTGTGTGTGGTGTGTGTGTGTGTGTGTGTGTCTCTCTCTCTCTCTCTCTCTCTCTCTCTCTCTCTCTCTCTCTCTCTCTCTCTCTCTCTCTCTCTCTCTCTCTCTCTCTCTCTCTCTCTCTCTTCCTCCCTCCCTCCCTCTTCCTTTTTCTTTTCTCCGCTAGCTTAGTATCGCTTCGCGGTCTTTTCGACGCTATCTTCCATCTCCACTCATCCAACATCAGATTGTTTCAACGCGCTGGTCAAACATGCGCGATGTGCAGATTATTCCTGCTGTATCCATCATACGGGACAACACCATATTTGTTCTGTCCCTGATTGCAGCGAAAGCATATCGCATACTCTTGCCTTCATTCGCACCAACGAAACGCTGATGACTCCGGAAAAAACAGCCTGGAACGTGGGTGGAATATATGAGCTCCTTCAGCTTCTATATACATCTATATATATTTATGTGCATATAATATATACACATATGCATATATATATATATATATATATATATATATATATATATATTCATTGTAATACACACTGCGAACTCAAAGCTCCAAAGCTTTATAACAAACAGGCGGTGAAGTGTTTGAGAAATGGGAACGGCAGGCCAAAAACACGGGGGGAGGGATCTTGCACGCGGGGAATATGGTCAGTATATAGCTGAAAAATGCCCGTAGAAAATTGGTACGTTATGAGTAAAGCTTCTTGCGAAAGCTAAGAATTGCGCACTCCAATGACGTACGCAAGAAATGCGCGCCTTCCACCGCATAATCCTGTACTACTCTGCCGGCGGGAAAGGTCAGATTTACCTATGAAACAACGAAATCAATCATCCGTTAAGCAAATGCTTCATATTTTGACTGGCTTGTGCAAAGCAGTCACGAGACACACACATATAGGTGATTCGCGGGAAGCGCACTATATTTGCGATCTCACGATGCACAATCATTGGCATATATTGTTACACGCATCCGGGTTTCATTTGCATTGGATTGGACAGTGTTAATGGCCTATAGCGACCTCTCACTCAATCTGGCCGACTGCGTACACCACTACACAAAATGTCAAAACACCATCGCACCACACACCCGATCACCCAACACTAGGCTACACCATGATGCGTTCTCCGCCGTCCCACGAAAAGTGAGAGGTCAGAATTCCAGCCGCACGGCCTCGGCCTGGCTGCCCACGAAGTCTGTCCCCTCCGCGAGAATGAGAACCGGTGCCGCAGGTCAGACGGCGGCGGACAGCGCGGGAGTGAGCGGGCGCCGAGGGTCGGCCGCCGCCGAGGCGCCGGACCACAGCCGCAGCACTGGCGTCTGACGTCACACCGGCGCCGAGGGTCGGCCGCCGCCGAGGCGCCGGACCACAGCCGCAGCACTGGCGTCTGACGTCACACCGGCGCCGCTCCCGCCGTCCGCCGCGGTCTGACGTCATCACACTGGTTCACAGACCTGTCGAATGACACAGAGACACGCTGCTGAAGTGTGGTGTGTATTGAACGCACGTCCGTCATCCCCGCCAGGAAATGCACGCCACTGAATAATGCGTAAACGGTCCGCGTCATTGCTTGCCCCCCCCCCCCCCCCCCCTACACGCTCCCCAAAAACAAACTAGAACCCGGAGAAGGAACATTAACTCCATCCAGAAAACAGTACAAGCGAGTTGTTTTAAGAACAATTCGTGTTCAATAGCATTAAGCCAGGCGACAAGGCGTTCGTTGTGACGTCAGCCTCATGTGAAGGCTGACTCGCCTGAGGCCGGACTGCGGCACACCAGAGCTCTCCGAGCGCAGAGTGCTGCCGCCTGAGGCCGGACTGCGGCACACCAGAGCTCTCCGAGCGCACAGTGCTGCCGCCTGCGGCCGGACTGCGGCACACCAGAGCTCTCCGAGCGCGCGGTGCTGCCCACTTACCGGCTGGCCGCCTACTTCTTGTCGTACGTGTAGAAGCCCTCGCCGGTCTTGCGTCCCAGCTTTCCCTCGGCCACCAGCTTGTCCAGCAGCGGGCTGGGGTTGAACAGCGGGTTGTCGGGGTAGTCCTGGTGCCAGCCTAAGGACAGCACACAGCAGATCAGCAGGCGTCGCCGCGTCTCCTGTTGAAGTCGCGCGCCTCCCACCGCGTATGAGGTCCTCACACCGAGTTTCCCCACGGGCTCCGGTGCACGATGTGTCGGACACAGCTGCAGTTAGACGCATTCGCTGAACCCTCACAAGCCAGCAAACACTCTCCAACTCTCGATATGTCGACGCCTCCTCCGCAGCCTGACTAACCGCGCCCACACGTGGAGCCCCTATGTGCAGGTGAGAGCGCAACTACATGACTGAAAAAATACGCCCATTATCAAATGAAGCGCACACAACCGCATCATACGATCACAACCGAAGAGGAGGTGTTCCTCATGACTGACCATCGATGATGAATTTGGTTGTGTCCAGGCCCACGTAGTCGGCCAGCTCGAATGGTCCCATCGGGTGGGACGCGCCCAGCTTCATCGCAGTGTCGATATCCCGCGCAGAGGCGTCCCCTGCGGCGGTCCGGCCCCGTAAGCGCGTGCCACATGGTCAAAGAGTCACAGGAGATCACCACGGACCAGTAGAGGACACAGTGCCGGCAGAAGCCACTGCACCGGAGATTAGTGGGTGGTCACACAGTCAACAGGTGTCACGGGGCCTAATCAGACCAGCGAAGGTTAGCAGAGGTCAAAGCGTCAGCACAGGTCGCGGATCTCACAGCCCACGGTGCACGACCGCGTATTTCCCAACAGCGCCTGGGTCACAGCAGGACATTCGCACGGACTCGCGTCTGCTGGGTCACCGTGAGTCATCACTGCGCCCAGCGGCCGAGGGCCCGGGGCCGTAATCAGCCGCCAGTCAGCGCCGTCGGCCACATCACCCTGCCGTCAGCCACCCCCACAAGTCCTCAACAGAGAGCGCCCAACCGGACCACCTGGATCCCCTCGGCATACCCGGCCGCCGCCCCGGCCGTCTCACCGCGCTCCAGCATGCGGACCGACTCCATCATGGTCGGCACTAGCAGGCGGTTGACCACGAAGCCGGGCGTGTCCTTGCAGCGCACGGTCACCTTGCCCATGGCGGCGCCGAACTCCATCATCCGCTGCGTCGTCTGCTCGGACGTCTCGCGGATCGACACCACCTGGCGGCAGGCGGCGGAACTTCGCGACTTCCACGTTGCCGACGCGGCGTAGGCCACGCCATCGACGGCGTCCAGGCCGGTTCCAGGACAAATGTACGTATGCATTAAGTATGTACCCAACTGTTCTTAAGGAAATGTGCGTAAAAGATCAAGTTCGCATGGCAGAAGTGCGCACGCAAATGGTTCGTAAGCAAAATTTTGTAATCAAATACTCATACGGTATAAAGTACATATCCAAAATGTTTGCACTGACAAAAATACGTCGGGACAAAAGTTCGTATAGAAAAATTGCCTATGCATTAAATACGTACGCAATTGTCCCCCAGCAGTTGGACGTACGCAAATGTTCGAAGCGAACGAAGTTGGCATGACGAGAATATGCACGCCAAAGTTCGTGAGCAGCATACACGTATGAGCTGTGGCCGAGGCCACGGCCGTAGGACAGTTGGTGCACTCCACTTTCTCAGAATGGTGGAAGTTAAGTCAATGGCGAAGCATGGAGACACCTTACTCCGGTAAGGTGAATCAAATGAAATTGCCACGCGCACTTCTCCACAAGCCGTTCAGACCCGAGACGATGTTCAGACCTCGACTCGCGAGCAGCCAATCGGCTCTCAGGGCATGTTCGCTGCGTTGATGTAGAAGGTAACACGGTATAACTCGGCTTACAGTAGCTTGAACCTCGAATTGGGCTTTGGTTCCGTTGACAGAACCCACGACAGTCGCGCACACGAATGCACCCAGAAAAGCCTATCTTGATTCCTATATTTTGTATGCTCCCCATAATGTTTTTCCCGGGTGATGCACGCACCGGTGATGTCGCGCGCCGGGTACACGCAGAATGGGCCACGAATCTGCTACACCTAGTGTATTTCAGCGCACATGATAATGTTGGGGAACGCGTCCCTTTCAACCCCTGGTCAGCTCTGATGTGACCATAGGGCCCCCGACGGGACTTGGAAGCGATGTTACCCCAGCGACGCAGTGCTCAGTAAATCCCCACAGGCCCTCGGAGACCATCTGTCTCCATATCACGGCGACCGAGCGGCCGATATCAAGATCGCGGCAGGTACCACGCCCCAGATGGCGCTGGCAGCGTCGCAGGCACGGGGAGATGTGAACAACTGTGAGAGCGTAGTGAGCGCACGAGTGGTCCCAACGGAGGCCGAGCAACGGAGCTAGGCCTGGGGTCAGTGACCTTCCTGACACTTCTCCGCGAAGTATCTTACTCCTGGCCGATGTTATACGAACACTCATGGACATTCCCAACCCTGAACCAACGGACGATCAGTGGGGCAGCCTGTCCCGCTCATGCAGCCGGGTGAACCAGCCGCGAAGGCCCTGAACCCGCTCCCTAGAGCGTCGATTCAGTGTCACTCACGCGTGTTACGTACATCATCAGCCAGGTGTTCGTCACCACCTGGGCTGGTGCCCATGGCCAGTCAGCTCCGGCCACCGGATCAGCGACCCATGTCCTGTATCGCTTCGTCGCCCCCTACGTCGGTGCCCTATGGCATGACTCGGTGCTTCATAGGGTAGGCCAGTGCCCGTCTCAAAACGCGCATGCCATACGATTTCCCCCACTATCATAAGGTGCCCGGTACCCTAGATCACTGTTCTGTCGCGTCTCCTCAGTCAGCGACCCATCCTCTACAGCAGTGTCCTGTTTGCCGGGTCAGCGCCTAACCCCGTAAACCAACATCCCTTCCCAAGCGGTAGGCGCCATTCCCAAAGTCAGAGTGCAACGCACCTTGCCTGAGCGTCCCCAAGGGCGCTTTCCTTCCCAGCACCTTGGCAGCTGTGAGGACACCTAATTATTTATATAATCGTCATCACCAGCATCCTCATATTCATCGCCATTTGCACCGCCGTCATCGTCATCGTCATCGTCATCGTCATCGTCATCGCCATCGCCATCATCATCATCCCGACGATCACAGTCACCACCGTCTCACCTCCAGCAGCTTCATGACCGGTACCGGGTTGAAGAAGTGCAGGCCTCCGAACCTGTCCTTGCGGCCGGTGGGCTCAGCGATGCGTGAGATCGGGATCGACGACGTGTTGGACGCGAAGATGGTGCCTTCGGGCGCCACCTGCAGTACACGGCACCACACGGTCACATACCGAGGCCCGGTACCGGTCAGGCCACCGGCCAGGCCGACGGTCAGGTCACGGAAGAGGTCATGGGTGAGGTCACGGGTCAGGTCACGGTTCAGGTAACGGGTGAGGTCACAGGCCACCTCACAGGTCACGCCAACGGTCAAGTGAGGTCACAGGTCAGCTCACAGGTCACACCAGCGGCCAAGTGAGGTCACAGGTCAGACCAGGTCGCGGCAGGTCACGGGCTGCCAGCGGACAGCCGCCCACCGGGCACGAACGACGCTGAACATACTGACCAAAATGCTGCCCGGGGCTGGCGCAGCTGTAAGCGCTGCGCACAGATCCGGCGCACGGAACATATTCGCTGTGCACAGATCCGGCGCAAGGTACTTATTCTCTGTGCACAGATCCAGCGCACGGAACGTATTCACCGCGCACAGATCCGGCGCACGGAACATATTCGATGCGCACAGATCCGGCGCACAAAACATATTTGCTGCGCACAGATCCGGCGCACGGAACATATTCAATGCGCACAGATCCGGCGCACGGAGCATATTCGATGCGCACAGATCCGGCGCACAAAACATATTTGCTGCGCACAGATCCGGCGCACGGAACATATTCAATGCGCACAGACCCGGCGCACGGAACATATTCGATGAGCACGGATCCGGCGCACGGAACATATTCGATGAGCACGGATCCGGCGCACAAAACATATTTGCTGCGCACAGACCCGGCGCACGGAACATACTGGACGCGGTGCATTTCCAACAGCGAAACCACGATTCAAGCCTTTTCCTCACTGTGAAAGGGTCTCGGTCAGAGCCGGGTCAATGCCAGGGACTTTTTTACATCGATGTCAATGCGGTGACGGACCAGTCCATGGCAAGGAGACCCGATGGTCTGTGAGTCCAGCCAGTGTAAATAAACATGACGTGAGTTACAGCAGCGCTGGGAGGGGCTGGCTGCGGGGCGTGTGGCCATGCCTCGCCGCCTGTCCCGGGTTTTCACCTCCCGGGGCTGCCTGCGGGGTGTGCGGCCGTACCTCGTCACCCCCCCCCCCCCCCCCCCCCCGGTCTTGCATGCCACCACTGGAATCCGGGCAACGCTCCCGCGGCGTTCGTCGGTTTTTCTGCCTGTTTTTGGCCGGGCGATGGCGAAGCCAGCCAATACCAGCACTGACACTGGCGGGGGGGGGGGGGGGGCTAGATGCCAACCCTCGCCAGACCCTTTCAGTTTTAGAATCACATCACCATTTGGATGGTCCCTGGCAGCGACGATGGAAAACCCGCACTTCCGAGAAAAATTCGTCCGTGATAAGACAGCGCACTTCGTACGCAATCCCCGCATGCGGCAGCCACCATATGACAATCGCTTTACACTGCTACGGGCGCAAAATTACCAATGCAGTCCAAGCGCCCTTAAACCCACATCTACCACCCACTGCCCTCCGCGAGGGAGAACTGTAAGCTGCTCCAGTCATCAGCACCTCCGCGAGGGAGAAATGTAAGCTGCTCCGGTCATCAGCACCTCCGCGAGGGAGAAATGTAAGCTGCTCCGGCCATCAGCACCTCCGCTCACTGTCCGGTACCTGATTACATGCTTTTTTCTGAACCTCACATGTTCATGATGTGGCGAGATCTCATTAAGCACCCTGCTTCAGTTCTAATTAAGACAGTATCGGCGCAAGTGCCTGCCGCCTCTCCACAGCCCATTAGATGGCCAGGCACCGAGGTATCGCTACGCGGCAGCGGGCCCCCGCCTCGCTCACTGAAAAACGTGCCGCGATGTCTGCAGCACTGCGCTAAACAGAGCGTCAGCATAACTTAATTCATTCCAGCCTGATACATAACAGCCATCGAATTAAAGCACGCCGATCGCGCGTGATTGACTGTCTGAAGGACTCAGTGTCTTTCGAATGGCCACCATGCGCCGGAATCGCTTCGACATAACATCGACCGGGGTAAGGTCATATCGCACAGACACGCATGCACACATGCATACAACGCTACACTCGACGTCGGTCGCGCCGAAGATGTACCGCTCAGTACGCTGCACCGATAAACAATCCCCGAACTGAGGCGCTAACCAGGGCGCGGCACGTGTTCCAGGCGACGTTCAACCACTATCGGGGTGTGACGGGTCAAACCTCCGAGGACCAATACGGTCGAATACGAGCCCATGGACGCAAGGAGCAATATGGACCAATACGGGCCCACGGACCGATATGGATCCACGAACCAATACAGGAGTTTATGGTCAAACCTTTTCCGCTACAACCAAACAGGCTATTCTAATTTGCACATGGGCAGACTTGTGACCTTTCCTATGGTGGACCTCCACACAGAGAACAAATAACAGCCGGTGCCTTGGCGTCACACACACACGCCCGCTGCCCGTAGCCCACTTTGGTTCCCACAGACGAATAACGTGGAACTTTGGTGGTGCAGCCCTTAGGTGAGAGCTCCCTGCGACCACGCCTGGCGTGTTTACCTCGTCGATGGCCTTAAACAACTTCTGCTTCGTCTCCAGGTTCTCCACAATGGCCTCGATCACAAGGTCAGCGTCCTTGACGGCCGACAGCGTGTCTGTTGTCATGGAGACGCGCGCCAAAGAGTCGGAGATGAACTTGTCGGCGGAGCCGGCGTCGTCCTAAGATGCGGCGGAAGTATCAGCGGGCAATGCCTTTGTGGCGACGGTATTCACGTTTCTCAGTGAGGCGGACAATAAGAGAGATGGAAAGTCATTCATCTGATGTGTTTGATAGGAAATACTGCATTCAAATGTAACAGTATATCCCATGGCAGATGTAGGCTAATGACCAGCATATGTTGCTCCACATGATGAGATGAGTGATATATGTGACACACAAATATCAACTTGCATGTGATAAATGGTTCTCAATGCCATGGTTCTCAATGCCAGGTTACTTTTATCCAATGCAAAACAAATAAAAACCTTGCACCTGGCAATCACCTTGAGAAAACAACTATTGATATTAAACACAGCTGTAAACATTCAACATTCTCCTTTGCAAGCAGCACCATAATATGGCTTCACATTCCAGGTCAGCCCTTACCTTGTACTTTTTCTTGGCAACACGCTTGATGCTGCCTTCAATATTGGCCATTGATTTGCTGAGGAACTCATCCTTCATATCCACCAGGGTGACCTTGTGTCCTGTCTGTGCTGCAACCTGTGGGGAAGAGCAAAAAACTACCTCAAACTGAAGTACAGATTTTTGGGATTTATGTCCCTATGAATGGTATTATGGTGATTTGTGTGCTGTACATGGTGCTATTGTGATGATGCATGTAAATGAATGACACCATTAACCAAGAAAGTAGTCTGAATGAAACTATGCCTGCTCTAAGCCTTCCTCCTACAAATTATATAGCCCTGGGAACTGCAGTCAGCTTTGACTCAAGCACAAAGTGCATACACATCCCTTGCATTAGAGCCAATAAGTTAACTATCAAATTTAGATACCATCAACTGCCAGCAAACCAATGCCAGATAGCCCCAAATCCTGATCTCCAACATTTCCACACTATATCTATTTTCTAAAGGCCTGGCTAGGTACAAGAAACATCCAAAAAAGATGGTGATTGGTCACTTCCCAGGCCCCTTCCTCTGCCCCATCATGGCAGCGAGCATAACAGACACCTGTCATGCTGGAATATGCTGTGCATACCATACTTGACCTGAAATTGACCTAAAATATTATGTGACCCCATGCCTTCAAGCATTGAAAGCTTTAGGACATGATACACCAGCTGTCAGCTACCATGATGTCAAACAGCACAGTAAATCAAACACAGTAAATCAAACAGTAAGCACAGTAAATCAAACACTGAATAATTGCATGGTGTCGGCTGCATCACCGACAGATGACACCTGTCTGTCACATGGCATCATCTAACTTGACTGGGTCATAGCACAGTCATGCATCACATCTGCAAACACTGTAAGCCTGAGGCTGCCAGGGTAAGCTGATATGCATAATGGTTCTTCTGTTAGTAGAACTATGTAGTAACTCCTCTCAATGCCTAGCAGTACTATGGCACAACAGTTTTCTCAATTTCCACACCACAGCTCTATGGGTCATACAACTGAACATTTTGCCAACATTTAGACTCACTGAGCTAGCAATATCATGACTTATATGAAGATGCTTATATTCACTGTTACCATTACAGGAGGGACTGACCAATGAGGTCAGTTTACACTCATGATGGAATATATGCAGTTATTATTGTAACTTGGGTCAATTCAGTCAATTCTTTCCCAGCCAGCACACAACACAGTCATCACAGCTTGAAATCACATCACTAACCAACACTCACTCCACTTCAGGACAGTCACCACACCCAACCATTTGTGGAATTAGCTTGGAGACAAAAGACTCAAGTTGATGCTTAAATATCATGCTTTGATTTCCATGCTTCTCAGTCACATTCCTTTTGTTTCAGTATTGATGACATTTCAAGACACTTTATTGCATGCAAGATGTATCAATGACAATTTGCCACCACATACCCTTGGTGGTGAGCACATGAAATAAACAACGGAAGTTGTTTGTGAACTTTTAAAACAAAGGGCACTTACTTGCACGATTCCTGATCCCATCAATCCTCCCCCTATTACAGTGACATTTCTGATCGCATCCATAAGCGAATGCGAAGTGGACAGGTTATGTAAAGACCCGATACTCGGGACTCTCGTGTACCGCAGTACTTTACTGGCCAACATTATCACAGCTACGCGGGATTCCAGTCAAAATCACAACTGTATAAAAGCACCAGTCTCGCCAGCGAGATAACGACGCGGCGACCCCACGCGATCACGCGGTCAGCGAGTGCACGAATGCCGCCAGGAAAATCGTCCCTGAAAAGGTGTTACGACACGAATTTGCCTGCAACGATCGCGCGGTAATCGTGACGTCATTGTGGATTTTGCGGATTTAGTGGCCGGTTGACCACTATAATCTGTGTCAGGGAACCAGTGGCGCAGGCAAGGGAGGGAGCACAGAGAGCACGTGCAGAGGGCAAGGGAACCCCTTTGGTTCCCTTGAGACCTTCGGTTAAGGGCCTTATCTGAGGGCCCGAACCCGGAAGGCCAGCCGTAGGTTGCATTTTGGAGCCCAGGCCGCAGAGCCGAGGACGCCAATGCCAACCAGAGGGCCCTGCGCGTTGATCATGGGCTCCCTGATCCGATAAGGGTCTGTGTATTGGTTAGACACCACTAGTAACTCACAGTCGTCTCCATGTCAGCATGGGCCTGAGGGCCTATTTTCCAAGCAGGGACAAAGTCGGAACCAGCGATTTACACAAGCCGGGGCCCTGCGTTTGTCAGGGCCCCACAGCGTCTAACAAGAGACCCTGTGTTTGCAAGAGCCCCCGAGTCGGCCAAAGACAGTGTTCGAGGAGGCCCGAAGAGCCTGGGATCCCCACTGGGTGCGGCGATCAAGCGCTCGATTGGAGGGCTGAAGGGCCAGAAGAGCTGGCTGTATGCCACATAAAGGACCCCACCCGTAGGGCCGTGATCTCAGATATCAGTTAGATGGCCTCTTGAATCGAATGGGGACCCCTGAGAGAGTGCGTTCCACTTTGTATGCCAGAGATCCCAAACACCGAGCAGTCGCCCCGTGTCGGACTGAGCTCTGGGGGTCCATTTTCCCAAGCAGGGACGAGGCCGTGCCCGCGATGCCCGCGATGCACATTGCGGGCACGGCCTGGAGTTCAGCTGACGAGAGTTCAGCTGACGGTTGAGCTTTGGGAGGCTCCGTGTCTAAGGGAGTTTTATTAGTGTTTGTTGTACCCGGGTAATGTTATTTGCGTTTAATATTGTGCAGCAATGAATTTTAGCTTTGTGGCTGCTGGACATGGCAATGCTGTTTAATATTTGGACTGGTTTTGAAGATTAAAAACGGTGAATTTTGCGAAATTGGACGGAAGTGCTACTACTTTTTTAGCCAAAGAAGACTGATCAAAATTTACTTAGAAAACGTGCCGTCGCGGCGTTGTCAGTTCGTTTTTTAAGATAGGCCAAGTTAGTTCATTGCAAGCCTTTAAAAAATGGCCAAAATGGAAACGGTGGAATTGCGCAGCCAACTTAAACTGCTGCAAAACCAAGTAAACAGCCAAGAAGAAATGATTAACTGTCTGACAATGCAGTTAGCCTAAATGGTCATCGTGTTTAGGGACATACAGGCAGAAAAGAAGAAAAAGATGGTTGATGGACAAGACGCAGCACTGAAAGACCTTCAGTTTGCTGTAAAACAAATTGACGACGATCTTGACTTTCTGAAACGGCAACACAGAAATTGTGAAGACCAAACAAAAACCATTCATGAACTGGGAGTTTTATGCGGAGCCGCCATAGTAGCTGCCGGGAGTAAGCTAGATGCTGAAATGCAAGCAAGGCATGCAAGGATGATTTAGGCAATGCAAGTACACCAAAGCGGCAATGGACCGTATGTCGCAAGAAAACTAGAAGTGACTTCAGCCTTGGAACTCGAATCAAAGGAAAACGAAGGTGGAAAAAACGAGGTAGGCATAAGAACATGCCAGAAGGAAAGGAGCGGTAGTCCAGTTGCTGAAGAAGTGGAACCAAGCAGCCAACTCACTCGAGGTACTTATGGAGAAGAAAACAACAAATGGCGTCGACTAAGCGTAAGGAGGGTTAGTGCAGGAGAAAAGGTGGCAGACGCCGTAGGAAACGCAGATGGCGGTGATGCATGGACCAAAGTGGAGAGAAAGAAAAATAAACCGAAGATACGAAAATGTGGAGCAGTTCTGATCGGTGGAAGAAGCGTAAGCCGGATCAAAGCAGCGGCCATGGAAGAGTTCATTTTTGACCAAAAAGTATATTTTATTACAACAGCGAGTGATGAACTTGATGGGAGTTTAAAGAGCTCTGTCACAAGAAATAAGGCGAAGGAAGTAGATACTGTGATCCATATTGGGGCCGACGATGTGCTGAATCATAGTGCATATTATGTTCTGGAGAGCATAAACAGCACTGTCAACCATGCAAAGTCCTTGAAAAATATCAAGCGGGTCTTCATTTGCTCGCTTGAAGAGAGACGGGACGCTGGCATTATGGTTTATGAAACAGCAAAAGCCGTCAACAGTGAACTCAGCCAGCTGTGTGCCACCCACGGAGTAGCATTCATAGATATGCGGCCAAGACTGATGTCCTGCGTTTTTGGGGGCCTGGACATGATTGGCATGATGTTGCACAAGTTGGTTGTTGTATGTTTGGTTGTTGGTTGTATGTTTGACTATCGTATGGCTGACTGCAAAACAAGTGGAACAATCTCAAGGCTATTGCTTTGTACGGCCTTTGAAGGACTCATCGATCAGAAGTTTTGGCAGATGGATTTGCTGCCAGGACTGACAAGATATAATAGCAATAAATGATATAGACCAACCTGCTGCTCGACTAGAACTGCTACTTCAAAATGCTTATGAGGAGCACTTGAAATTAAATATACCCTGAAATTAAATACAAATGCAAGACAAGTGAGCCGCAGTGGAAAATAGCGCATCAAAGAAACTGATACACAAACGTAATAGGGCGCACAGCCGTCATCAAATGGACAGACTAGAACAACTTAGAGCCATAGTAGGCCTAGAGATTACAGCTGCAAAAGCGGCATGGTATAGGAAACGAATCCAAATAATTGCTTCCGACCGAAGAGGGGGTTGGGGCCGACAAGTAGCCCGCTTAACCAACCGAAAACCAAAAGCATGGAGCCTTGATCTTGCGGAAGCCAATGACGATAAATCAAAAGCGGAATTAGTAAATCAGCTTTTTGCAGAAATATGCACAACGTATGGACCGCTGCGCACAGAAGAGCTTCCCTGCTACCTGCCTGCCAATAACATTCCGTCTGAAATACAGCCGTGGCAGGTTGCTTTTCAGTTATCGCAGTTGAGAGAAAATATGACCGTGCCCACTGGACAACTTCCAGTGCGGCTAGTAGAGGAATTTTCTGTGGAACTGGCCGTACCAATCACTCATATTTTCAACCGGTCATTGCATGAAGGGTGAGTGCCATTGGTGTGGAAGAGAGCAACAATCACTCCTGTACCAAAGAAAACATCGCCCAAGTTACCAGGAGATCTGAGACCGATAAGCCTCACACCGACTTTTAGGAAGGTTTTGGAAAAATTATTGTTCCACAAATTCTGGCGGATATAAAACCGAGCATAGATAAGTGCCAGTACGGAAATATGAAAGGTGACTTTGCGTCACACTATTTAATTAGGTTGTTACATGATTTGCTGACTGAGTTAGACGAAGCAGACAAATTATTTTCTTTGGTTATGTACGATTTTAATAAGGGATTTGACCCCACTGATCACACAACAGTTATCCAGAACATGCTTGCAATGGGACTTCGCTCCGGGAATGCTAAGTGGATTTGCTCATTCTTGCAGGACCGACAGCAGCGGGTCAAGATGCCAGATGGAACCATAAGTCGTTGGAGAACCATAACATGCGGCACTTCGCAAGGCACCTTAGTTGGCCCGGTCGCTTTCCTGGCTATGGTTAGCGATGCCGCTGCTGATATTGACAACCGGCTTAAGTATGTAGATGACCTTACCATATACCAGGCGTGTCGAATTGACCAAGAAGATCGGCACTGCCAGTTGAAAGAGTGCACTGATAAGATAGTGATTGGGCAACGGCAAACAAGATGATATTGAACACTGACAAATGTCAAGTCATGCATTTTTTCACGGCCAAAAAACCATTAGCACTACTGGACATCATGATACAAGGAAAAAGCCTGCCAACTGCCATCAAAACTAAGCTTTTAGGTGAGGCAATATCAAATGACATGTCATGGCAAGCACCTGTGGATGATATTGTAACCAAAGCTTTGTATATGAAAGCTTTGTATATATATATATATATATATATATATATATATGAAAGCTTTATATATGCTCTACATAATGAAGAAGTACCATCTACCACAGGAACAGCTTGTTCGTGTGTATGTTACTTACATCTGGCCATTGGTAGAATATTGTGCACCGGTTTCCTCACGCGGGACTCACTGCCAAGCAGGCGCAACATCTTGAGAAAATGCAGAAGAGAGCCTTGAAAATCATCTTTGGCAATTCGGAAAAGTACTCGCACATCTTGCAACGCTTGGGCATAAAAACCCTCGCTGACAGAAGAGAAAAGCTATGCCTAAGGCTAGGAAAACGAATGCAAGCGTCTCCCATGCATAGAGATCTGCTTCCAAAGCAGCGAGTGGCGATCTCCGGCAGAAATACCAGGAGCGTAAGCACACTCCAAACGTTTTGCTGTGGTACGCGACTACGCAAATCAAGTATTCCCCGTATAACCACTCTTATAAACGCAGAAATATTATCAACTAAGTAGTGTTCTGCTTCATATGTCCGTCTACTAGAGGGTATACTTCAGTCTTCTTACCGTCCACTTCATATATCCGCCCCGGTGGCTTGGTTGGTTAGAGTGCCTGCCTTCCGATCTACCCACCCGTGGTGGGTTCGAGTCGCTTTATGGCGCTCGCTATTTAACCTTGACAAGTATGGGCTGCGGCTGGTGGAAGCGGCCGCGGTAAAGGTCAGTTGACGTCAGAGGGCAGGACGGACCGTGCGCAATGGTCCGTCCTGTCCTCTGACGTCAACTGACCTTTACCGCGGCCGCTTCCACCGGCCGCAGCCCATACTTGTCAAGGGCAAATAGCGAGCGCCATAAAGCGACTCGAACCCGCCGTTGCCTGGAATTGCGCGATCAGATGGTGGGGGTCAGGGCTCATACAACAAACACTGCTTAGCGTGAGCTCTGATCCCAGAAATCCATCCATTCAAAGGGTTCGGATCA